CTTGTTTCATTGTTAATAAAGTTGTCTAGTTTTTCTGGGTGAACATCCAAGAACATCTTGGAAGCCTTTACAGTTTTAAATAAATTTGGGTACCTATCAATGGTATCAGAGTCACTTTCCTGGTACTGTGGTGGTTGTGCAGCATGGTCAATACGAGAATGGAAGCAAGATTGGATGGATTGGAGTGCATAGTGCAAGAGCAGGAACATGAAAATCAGAGAAGGTTCCAAAGGTTGGAGGAAATGCTTACAAGGCTGACAGGGTTGGTGGAACGTTTCACATCCTCTGATAAACAAACAGCGTATAGTGCTTCTGTTGCCAAGGAAGGCAGTGCGGGCAGTCTCAAGAATGACGAAAAGAATGAAAGTGGACATTCAGGACTGACTGGGGAAAAATGGAGGAAGCTAGATATTCCTGTTTTTGCAAGAGAAGATGCTTATGGCTGGACTAACCGGTTGGAGAGATATTTCCAGTTGAAAGAAGTCAATGAAGAGGAGAGGATGAGGGCTGCTATGATGGCTTTGGAAGGAAAAGCCCTAAATTGGTTCTAGTGGTGGGAGACTTGCTATCTGAATCCCACATGGGAGGCTTTCAAAGAGGCGGTTGCTCAACGGTTCCAACCAACAATGCTTCAAAATCCTTTTGAAGTATTGATTGGGCTTAGACAAATTGGGCAGGTGGGAGAGTATATTGAACAATTTGAGAAATATGCGGGGTTCTTGAATGGTATAAGGCAAGATTATTTTACTCGCATTTTTATGAATGGATTGAAGGAAAAAATAAGGGCAGAGGTGAAGATTTATGAGCTCAAAAGCCTTGCTGAGTTAATGATGAAGGCTCAAATGGTGGAGGAAAAGGTTAGAGTCACCACCAAGGAAGACTCTCTCATTGTGCAACTTCAAAGTAACACCTACAGACAATTGCCACCTACTTGTCGTTACTCAAAGGAAGGGGGAAATTCAGTGGGTTTTACCAACTCCAACAAAGGAAGTGGAGAGAGCAGTGGTTGTCTGAGCACCATCAATAGTTCCCCTTCTGGGACTCAACAAGGAGGGGCACCATTTAGAAAATTGTCCCAAGAAGAATTGCAAGATAAGATAAAAAAGGGCTTATGCTTTAGGTGTGATGAAAAGTTTGGGCCTAATCATACTTGCAAAAATAAACAACTCCATATGTTGCTTATTTTGGAAGAGGAAATTCAGGAATTAGGGAATTTGCTGCTTGCATTCATAAAGAAGTTCCAGACTTTCATGGAAGGGGTGTTGATAGGTTTGATACAGTTTACAAAATAAGGAAAAAATAAGGTAGTCCGTACAGTTGAAAACACCTCCCACCCATCGAAAACAGCTAAGAAGATGCTATTGCCATCAATAAGGAGTTTCCTGCTTTTCACCTTGAGGACAAGGTGAAACTTCATGGAAGGGTATTGATAGGTTCAAGGGAAATATTTATATTAGGATAAATAAAAGGGACAGACAATTATATCTGTCTGTTGGTAGGTTTTGTTGTCTCAAACTTTCATAAGTTGTTTTTAGCAGTTTTTTAGGAAATTTTGTAAAGGGAAGGCTAGGGAGAGTCTGGTCCTCTCGAAATACCAAGGCTAGTGTAATAATTTAGATTACTGTGCTCGTTTTTCATTGTTAATAAAGTTGTCTAGTTTTTCTAGGTGAACATCCAAGAACCTGTCTTGGAAGTCTTAAATAAATTTGGGTACCTATCACTTTCCTCTCCCACAGATTTCCGCTATCTCAATCTGCCATGTGTGCAGTTAGTCACCACCACTCTGCATAACAAACTCATTCCTGCCAGAGTCCATTTTTCCACTACAACAGTAGAAAAATTGCAAAGGCCAATGCAATTGATGCCCATCAATAAGGTGGACTCAGGGAAAACCTTAATCACCTCATAATCTTCCCAGGAGCTATATTCTGTGGGCATGTCAGTCCATTTTATCAGCACTTGCCAGGTTCCATTCAACAATATCCTAGTAGCCAATACTTGATCAGGTTCTACCATCAATTCAAACTCATTTAAGAAGAACTTGGGCAGTTCTTGATTCAGTTGATAGGAGGTTAAAGCCTTCTTTAACTATGAAACATGGAACACCAAGTGTAATCTTGAGTTGTTCGGAAGTTGTAATTTGTATGCCACTTTGCCAATTTTTTCCAACTGAACATAAAATGCTTCTACCTCATTTTTTAACTCCTTTCTCAAAGCTTTTAAGGATGCCTTAGTTTTGGATAAAGTTGTATTACACTTAATTTCAAAGACTTGACCATCCTTTTGTTTGTACCTCTATTAAGTGTTGCTACAAATACGCCGAAAACTTGCTTAAACTTTTCAGCAATTCATATCCCTGAATTACATCCACCCTGCACTATGAATGAAGTTGTTTTGTTATGGCTAATTCAAAATGAGCTAATAAGAAGCAAACAAGAAAACCAGACCAAATTAATATTGATGATTATTCATCCAATGTGGAGTGGATTATGGAAGATGAGTATGAGCAGAATGAAGCATTGGATTAGGATGAAAACTTGGTTCTAGTCTAAGTTGAGGAGGAAGAAACTTAACATCATCATGATTTACATGTGGCTGATTTGAATGGTGAAGGAGATCGAAATGGTGGAGTTGAAGGTCTCTGTGCAGATTATGAATTATGCTTACAAAATTATTTGGTTTAGATGGAGTTGCTTTGTATAATATGAAGTTCAACTATGAATTTTGAGTGAGACAAAGATTTTGTGTGTGAATATACAATTTTCATAAAATTTGTAGAATTCATATTTCGATCTTCTGATTAACAATCCATATTTCCCTTTCTGATCTTGAGTAAGATCTCAACTTTGACTACCATGTCAACAGTTATCACCACTCAGACTTGTTCTTGTTATCCATTATTTCAAAGGTCTATGCCGTTGAAGCCCATCAAAGTATATATAACATTCTAATGTGGCAAGAATTCATTGTAAAAACATTGTTAACAGTGTAGAAAATAAACTAACTTTTGTTATCCAATAGAGATAACTTCAAATTGACAAGACCAAATAGATTTCATCAACAATATTATAACATGCATTAAGCCAGAAAAAGGAGAGAGATTAAACAATTACCCAAGAAATTCTGACACTCCACCAATTCCAGCAAATTTGAGAGGTGATGGGCCCTCTACAATGAGATCCTGTTCCAAATTAAATTTGGTAAAAAAAAGAAATGAGCACACCAAATTAGCCAATTTTATTTTCCTATGCTTGATTAAAGTAGAGTAAATAAAATACAAATTCCACAAAATTTAAATAAGAAAACATGCCTCTTCTTCAGCAGCTTCAAATCCTCCTTGAACCCAAAACAGATTTTTGTAGCCAGCATTATACAGTAGTTCACAAGCAGCAAGTGATCTAGCAGGAAAATGAGGTTCAATCAACCACAAAAATGCTGTGCTGTTTGTTTGATACTAGTTTAACGATCATCAGATAGTTTCTTTCATGCACCAGAATTTTAGGAGCCAAATGTAGGAATACTATAATAGGACTAAAAACGCAAGAGGAAGTATCAAATACGTTTTAACAAAACAGATAATCGGAATCCAAAACGACTAAATTGAGGGTGCAATCAATCAACCGAGTGTATAAATCTCACCTCAATCCCTTCTGGCATGCAACAATTAATTCAGAATCTTTGGGGAACTTTTCCGCAACTTTGGTTAAGAACTGGCTGTTGAAGAGAGGAAATAAATGAATTATAAATTCATGTACATGGACAACAAATCAAAAGAGCAAATGATAGTTTATGATACCTGTCATAAGATAGAGTAGGCATGCCACTCCACCAACCTCCTGTTCAACACAACAGAAGTAATACATTTCTAATGAAATCTTCCAATTTAGTTTACAAATTAAAAAACCCTAACAAAGAATTACTAATGAAAGAGTCAGCATGGGATTTTTAATACCCATAACAAAATTTGTGACTTTTCTGGGAACGGTTCCAAAATCTAGCTTATTATCAACATCAAATATTGGAATCCAGGTTGAAGCTCTCACCCATGCCTTCAAAAGACACAAAAAGAACAAGCAAAGATCACAACAATGAGGCGAAAATACAGGAAAAAGAGTCAGATTACTTATTAGCAATAAGAAAAAAAAATTAGTATCATGAACAAAGTTAAACTCATAGGTAAATCCATCTAATGCTTTCTTTACAACTACCCAAGATCAATTACCATCATGGTAATTAGCTTCAATGATGTATGACCGCAGCAATAACGTGTTAAAAATGTCAAATTGTTCCACTTATATTCACCTACGATGATGCATTGGCCAAAGGGTAAACAAAAGCAACGCCTGAATTCAAAGACAAACCTTGTTGCGCTCATTGGAGGGACGGACATCAAGAAGGGGCTTGCCTGAAAGCTGAACTGCGTACCCAGCTTCCCTTGGGATAAGAACTTTAACTTTTCCATCTCTGACCTACAAAAACAAGCAAGCAAACCGCAAGAAAAATTAATAGGGTCCACCCCATATTTTAATCAACACCATGGTCATAAAGGGGTTTATCAAACAAGAACAAGATATCTTATCAATTATCATTATGTTTTACTATTGAGAAATCCCAAACAACGAATACAATAAGAATGAACAACGAACAAGATTGTGAAAAATTCAATTCCACTCTAATATCCTCATTAGTCATCAGTCCACAGGCATATTATTTATAAGGTTTTACATTTCAGCAGCGGCTCGGTCGTAATTCTTATGATTGCGAACAAATGCAGCTATAACTGTGGCTATGATGACAAAAACAAGTTTATGAAACTGAAAAATACCAGAGCCTCCCATCTCTTTCTGGCAGCAGCCATATCCCTCATTTGCTTCAATTCATAATCTTCACTCTCGGCTTGTACACGAACGACGCTTTTTCTCTGCAAAGAGAAACGTAGTTATCATCATTCCACTTGGGACCCAGAAAGCAAAGAATGCAGAAAACTTCAATAGAATTGAATGAATGAATGAATGAATACCAAAGTGAGGGTTCTAGCAGTGAGAGAAGGATTGAGTTGTAAGGAAGAATAGAGCGAAACATAATTAGAAGAAGCAGTGAGAGAAATGTGGTTAATTGAGAGAGTGTTTATGGGAAGAAGGGATAGTGCCTCCATTAGAGTTCAGAAGGACGAAACAGACTCCGATTCTTGTAATTCCCTATCCTCTGCAATCTGAATCATACCCTACCTTCTTCTTACTCACCTCATCTTCAACCATCTTCCTTCAAACAGTAATTTTTCTTTTTAATTAATGCACCACTTTAATTTAACACTCTCGTAAACTTCAATTCAACGCTTTGCTTCAAAATCAAAGCTTTTATTATTATTTGGAACATGACAGTGACTCTCTTTTAGAAAACATATCATATGAGAGTCACTTTACCATGTTATGTTATAAGACAAAATTTATAGATAGTTTTATGATTTTTACAATTTATTTTTTCGTTAATTTATAATTTTACAATCTATTTTATGATGGAAACATTAATTAATATGGTAGAAACTTTTGGGTCAGGAATATATAAGTCAATGAGAAACCTACGTAGTTCATCCTTTTTTTATTATTTAATACAATTTTTTTGTGTAAGAATAGGTGTTTTTCTATTCTCCTAATCTTTTGTACTAACGGGTCATTGGGGGAATGATTTAAAATCGTCTTTTAGGAATATTCTAAATATGGATAGTAGTTATACTTATTGTCTTGTATTGTGATTGATTTCATGATGCATATTATATTTTTTAACATAATGCTTGAACAAACCTGTAGATTTAAGCAATCATGGTACGAATGTTAATTTAAAAGAATTTATTTGACAAGAAATTGAAATTTGTATTATTAATTTTATCTTGTTGTCAAATATTTGAATTTTATACCAATTACTTCCAATTTCGTTAAGACTCTTTTTTATACAGTAAAAGACTTTTCTATTGAGATAATAGTGTAGTTAGTGTTTTTATCTTAATTTTAATTTACATTTAGTTTTTTTTTAATTATTTCTAGCTCAAATTCAATTATTAGTATTATCTTTTATAATTTTATATTGTAGTTGTTTTTTTCTAAGAAAATAAGATAAATTTAAGTTCAAATTATCAAGTAACCTTTCTGGGTGTTTATAAGCTAGTAACACATGACATAAATATTTTAAATTAATAACCATTGGGTCATGCAGACATTTTGATCTTGTCATCTCTAGCGTTACTTGATCTCGGAAGTACTATAAGAGCGGGCTGTGAAAGAAAAGTCTGGCTTAAAATATTATAACTATAGGTTAAATAACAAACAACTCTGTACTTTGAGGAGTACTTCCACTGATCCTAGATAAATACCACATTAAAAATATTGATTTTAAGATTTTAGTTCTTTACTTTAATATGTAGGACCGTGTAAAATTGTCGTGATTAAATATATTATTGTGAAAGGTGGTTATAAAATTTTAGTTTTTATTACATTCAATAATCAGAGTTTAGATCTAATACATTTTAGAAACTTTTTCTTTATCTATATCTTTTGAGGTGTCTTTTAAAGATAAAATTGTGATGAAACATAGATTCTAAAGGAGACAATACCTCACATGAGAGGTGATTGACTTTAACAATGTCACTCAGTAGATTTGGGATCAGAACATTGGTGTAAGACTCGAAAAATAGTAGAATGAAAATCAAATGTTGTATCATGGTTTATGTTTATTAATAAGGAAAGATGTATATTTTTCAAAAGTGTTGTATAACTCACTTGGTGAGAGTTTTATATTAGACTTATGGTATTGTGTTCAAATTTTGTGAGGTGATAAATTTTTTTTTTAATTATAATCTTGTTAGGTACGACATGATATAATTATGTGGTTTGTGGTGCATGTTGTACCAAAAGAAAAAACATGATAGTTGTGATGGTTTGAGACGGTGGTTAAGTGAGTTGGATTACAAGATTTCATCAGCTTCAAGGAAGAAAAGACTAGGAGAAACCAAGGTAAGGGGATGCTAACTGCTTTCAATTTGTGAAATCTCGATGGTGATACTAGGAACTATGGGTGTAGGCCAATGATTCTTAGATGTAAAAATCCGTGGGGGCAAGGGCAACAAACCATGGTGGTTATAAATTTCTTCAACTTTGTTTCCTCATGTAGTTATGGGTAGTGTTGAGTTACCTCTTTGTTATTTAATACCCCATCTGCAAGGCATCTGTAGTGTAGTAATTTTATCATAACATGTTAGCAAAATCAGAAGTATAGAAGTTTTGATGATGCCAAATCAAGTCTGAATTGCTCGCTTTGTAAGAAGACATTCACGAAGACTTGTTTTATGTGTTAAAACTTTTGTAAGTAGTAGTTTTATGTATATGGCTTTATATGTTGTTGATTCCATGTAAGTTATGCTTTAAAATTCATTTTGGAGTCAAAAAGCTCTACAATATCGATTATCCATAAAGCTCAGAGAGAAGTTTATAAAGGTTGCTAAAAACTTAATTTTAGATCTGAAAATACGATTCCAAAAGGTATGATAATCGATTATCCATAATCGATTATGACTTACCATAATTGATTATCACAGCTAGCCGTTGGAGTTTTTGAGCATGTTGTTGGCCATTGTGCATTCATTAAATGCATAACCGATTATTGCTTTAGTGAGGTCTTTATAAAGATGTTTTAGACTCACATTCTAACACACGTCTGTTTGCTTAAACTATGAAAAGGTGTGATCTAGGGTTTGTTGTAACTCTTGCGTTTTGACTTGAGAACTTGGTGTGGGAAAGTGAGAACGTTCACAAGGAGTGTGAAATAAGTGTGTTGTTGTTGCTGAGTGAAGCTTGTCATCCTTTGTGAAGATTCAAAGGAAGTGTTCATCCTTCGTGAAACAATCGAAGAAGGATTCATCCGTTGTGGCTTTAAGGAAAGTGAGTTTTATCTCTTCAGGTAACAAGAGAGGTGTTTCTAAACCCTTAAACTTGTCTTTCTGTGTGATTGTAATAGTTTCTTGGTTTTGTGATAGTGAAACGTTAATCTCTATTTGGGATTAACAACTGAAAATCAAGCGTTAATCCCTTAAATTTGTTTTTTTTTTAAATTATACTATTGTCAGGTACAACATGTATATAATTATATGATTGTGGTGATGTTGTAACCAAAAGAAACATGATAGTTTGATGGTTGAGACGGTGGTTGATTGAAGTTGGATTAAAGACTTCCATCGACGCAAGGGGAGAAAAGACTAGGAGAAACTAAGGTAATGGGGAGGCTAACATGCTTTTAATTTGTGAAATTCGATGGTGATGCTAGGAATTGTTGGGTTAGCCAATGATTTCTTAGATTTTAAATCGTGGGTGCAGAAGGCAACAACCATAGAGGTATAAATTTCTTCAACTTTGTTTCCTCATGATAGTTATGGGCAGTGTTGAGTTACCTTTTGTGATTAATACCCCATCTCCAAAGCATATGCGGTGTTGTCATTTTTCTATCATACAACATGTTAGCAAAATCATGAAGTATAGAAGTTTTTATGATGCCCAAATCAAGTCTCAAGTGCTCATTTTGTAATAAGACCTTCATGAAGACTTGTTTGATGTGTTAAAGCTTATGTAATTAGTAGTTTTATGTATAGGGCTTTATATGTTGTTGATTCCATGTAAGTTATGCTTTAAAATTCAATTTCGAATAAAAAAGCTCTTGCAATAATGAATTAGCTACTTAAGATAATTGATTATCATAAAGTGTTTTTAGAGGTTGCTAAAAAAAACTCAATTTGGATATGGAATAATCGATTACCAGAGTATGATAATCGATTATCCATAATCGATTATGACTTACCATAATTGATTATCATAGCTAGCCGTTAGAGTTTTTGAGATGGTTTTTTGACATTGTGGCATTCATTTTAGCATAATCGATTACCATAAGTGGAATAATCGATTATCACGCGAGAAAAAGCTCACAATGGATTTTTGGAGGTGTCCTTGAGTGAGGTCTTTATAAAGATGTTTTAGACTCACATTCTAACGGACGTCTATTTGTTTAAACTATGAAAAGTGTGATATAGGGTTTGTGTAACTCTTGTGTTTTGAATTTGAGAACTTGGTGTTGGCATAAACGAGAACTTTCACGATGAGTGTGATGAGTGGTGCCTTGCGGTTAGAGTGAAGCCTATCATCCTTTGTGAAGATTCAAAGAAGTGTAATCGTTCGTGAAGCATCGGAGAGGGTGGTCATCCTGTGGCCTTTAGGAAAGTGAGTTCATCTCTGTGGTAACAAACCAAGAGATTGTTTCTAAAGCCTTAAACATGTATTTATGTGTGGATGAAATAGTTTATTGGTTTGTGATAGTGAAATGTTAATCTGTTTGGGATTAGCCAAATAGGACATAGATCCTTGTGATCTAAACTAGTATAAAATTATTTGTGTTGTTTTCTCTCACTAGTGCAAAAACAACGTATAACGTCAAGCGTTTAACGTCGAACCACTAAATAGCCAACGTTAAAAATGATTAGTGGCATTTTTGTAAATAAATTCAATTATTAAACGTCGTTTATAATTGTAATTCGACGTAAAAGGATAAAAACGTCGAATGTCCTAGCCTTGACGTTTAAAAGGTTAGTGAATTTCATAAAAAATTTGAGCGGCGAGATTGAAAATTCATTCACTTTCTCGTAGAGCGCGATACCCTCTTCTCTGCTTAAACTTTTATCGAATGAAGTTTGAAGACCTCAAGGTATCTTTCTTTCATTTGATAAAAATGCATGTTAATTACTACTTTAGTATATTTCGTTTGTTTTTGTAAACTGATTATTTGTGTCGTCCTTATAGAGCATTTTGCTTTCTCCTAACGGGGTTTGACGGACACTTTATTCGATGAACCCTTTGAAGGTTAGTTTTCGTTTTGAAGGACGTATTTGTTGAAAACTTTGTTTGTTTTTTTTTTTTTGAACTGTTTATGGTTGTTGTTTGGTTGAACTTGTTTGTCGTTGTTGTTTGGTTGAACTTGTTTGTTGTTGTTTGATTGAACTTGTTTGTTGATGGTTATTGTTGTTTGTTGTTGATCAAAGTTCATGCTTTATAAAATACCAAAAACTTGAAAATTGTTATTTTTCTACTTTTCAGATCTCGTAGAGTTGTTAAAAAGGATCACAATTAATTAAAAAAAATGATTAAACATCGAATATTGACAAAAATTTGACGTTAAGTTAAACGGCGTACATTGACAAAATTCGACGTAATTTAACGTCAATTTTTTAAAATTCGACGTCAATTTAACGTTTCCTGATGTGATGTCGTTCGCGAATCGACGT